CAGTGAGATTGTGAAACCTACACATAACTTCCCTACACTTTACGCTTCCCCATTCTAAAACCCTCCCCCACTTATCACTTCACCAGAAGGGCGTCGAACTCTAACTTAACATTCTTATAAACGCTGACCAGAAAGACGATAGCATGGCACCGGACAGAAGGCAATCCAGAACTCCAGAGCCCGCCACAGACAACCCCTTGACCCAGACCCTACAGCAACTAACACAAGTTGCACAGGCACTAAGTGACGCGGCCTTTCGCAACAACAGGCCCCCACCGCCTCCGTCAAACGCAAACTCGGACGTCGCCCGACAAGTTTCGAATCACCGACCACCCACGTTTTCGGGAGAAGAGGATCCCGCGGTCCTGGAAGAATGGATCCGGACTCTTGATAAGATTTTTGGAGTAGTAGAATGCCCGGAAGGACACCGCGTAGAGATAGCCTCGTTCTACTTCGGGGCATGAGGCCGATCTCTGGTGGATCCACGAGGGGCCCACTTATCAACAAGAACCGGGGTTCAATTGGGAGAACCTCAAAACACGACTACGAGAGAGGTTCTACCCGATACACGTGAGAGCGTCCATGTACGAGGAGTTTCTCCATCTGAAACAAGGGACAGCGACCGTTATGGAATACCACAAACGATTCCTTGAACTAGCACGCTTCGCACCCGAACTCGTCCCCACCGAGGTAACCAAAATAGAGAGATTCGTATCGGGCCTCAACTTTGAAGCCCGAAAAGCACTAGTGGTAAGCAGACCCCGGACTCTCAACGAGGCTTACTCCAGTGCCGCCAATCTCTACCGAATCCAACAACTCCAACGCGGGGTTCAGGAGCAAATGCGGAAGAGGAACCCCGGAGGAGGGGCGCCACCAGTAAAAAGAACAAGGAACGACACCAACACGAGACCCGGCAACCCGACCAACCAAAGGCCACCTCGGGAAAACAACGACGCCAGCACCAGGGGCTTCCCTTGCCCGAAATGCAACAAGAGCCATAGAGGCAAGGATTGCATGGGCAAACCCTTGCGATGCTTCAACTGCGGAGAAGAAGGACACAAGGCCTTCCTTTGCACCCAACCCCAAAGGCCACGGCACTACCACCATGGGACAACATGGGGGCACCACTCATCAAGGAAACTACGGCACTCCCGGGAAAATATTCGTCATGAGCCGCACTCAAGCCGACCTCGGGAATGAGGGCGATCTCGAGGAAGGGAACCAAGGCCCTGAAGACGAGGACCACGCAAATCCCGTGGGAGAAAGCCAAGAAGACGAATTCTGCCTAAGTTAGGTTGGCAATTTCTTGTAATCACCTTCGTGATAGAGTTACTTGCTTAGCTTAATTACTTGGAAATATTATAAATAAAAGATTAGTTCATAATTCGGTTCTACTTGCAAACTAGCCAAACCTCACCACTAGAAGCCGGAATAAGGAAAAAGACAAAAGCCCCATCATCAAAGAGCTTAGTGTTACAAATAAGAATTGAACTCTAAACCTCCTATTTACAAGTCCAAGCCCCTAACCACTAAGCCATGAGTGTTTCTTGAAAACCTCAAGGGAATACTCCCTTGTTAAACCCCTCCAAATCCCTAAAACCCACAAAACCCCCAAATCAAAAACCCCCAGAAATAAAAATAGAAAAGAAAGGAAAAGAAAAGAAAAGAAAAGAAAGGAAAGAAAAGATAAAAGAAAAAGAAAAGAAAAAAGAATAAGGGAAAGAAAGGAGAATGAAAAGAAAGGAGTGAAAAGGAATGGAGTGAGTTAGAGGAAAATGAGAGTTGGAGAGGTAAAAGAAAGAGTGGATGTGAGCTAAAAAGCAGAGAGTGTGTGAGGTTTTTGGAGGCCATGAGGCCCTGCCTGCAGGACTGAGTCTCAACGTAAGGTGTTGGCGGTACAACATGGCACCCTAGTCCGGGCTGAACGGTGCACCGGGCAGGACTAGTCAAATCCGTTGACCTGGTCAGGCTTGCTGCTGGCCAATAGTAGCTGCGTTCCTTCTGGACTCCGGGGGGATGGGCTATTATTTGGGGGGTTGCTTTTTGTTCGCGTCAGCCTGTTATAACCTTAAACACTCACCCGAGGTAGAATTTATAGTTGGGTCAGGGGAACAGGATGCTTGGTTGTTCTATCTTGTTTCTATTTTTTGCAGGTGCTGTTTCTTTAGCCTCGGAGGCATGAACTGGTCTTGGGCTGTTTTGGTTTCGCCTTTGCAGGCATTTTTTGGGACAGACCAGGTCTCAACGCCGATGCAAGCGGTAAAAAATTGCATCCTAGCCCGGGCTGAACGGTGGCCGGGTAGGTGTTTTTCAAATCCGTTGGCGGTAGTCCAGGCTTGCTGCTGGCCCATAGTAGCTAATCCCGTTAGGGTTGGTTCTGGTTCGTACTGGTGCTGATCGGGAGTTCTGCTATTGGCTGCCTTGTGCTATGTTGATTGATTTTATGGCCTGTGATTTACCTTGTACTTTTTTTCTTAGGCCTGCGTGCCATCTTTAGCTATGTATCTCGACTTAGGCCTGCGTGCCATTGCTAGCTATGTATCTATCTTGTTGTATGGCATGTCTTGTTTTACGGGCCAGCCAATAGCGCTACGGGAGGTGTTACAGTCGTGGTGCAGCCCGGTTAGGCTGCATTATGGTGTGTAGTCGCTATAGTGCAACTGGCAGGGAGGTACTATGATGGTGACACGCAAGGTGTCTATTCCTTGCTATTTGAGCTTCGGACTATATGGTGGGCTGTGAAGCAGTTGGGCTGCGCGTGCACTTTTTCGGAGCAGCTTCACAGGCTACTTATTTCACATCTTGATGTTTATACTCTTGTCTGCGTTCTGGTTAGTGATAGCTAGTATGGGACTTGGGGCATGCATGTTAGAGCCCGGGGGCCTCGTTATGTAATCTCGTTTTATTTAGTTTATGTAGATTAGTTAGCAGGATTTAGGCCATGTGGGGCCTAAGTCCATTTTTTTGTATTGGCTTTGGCCTTTTTTTTGAAAATAAAGTCTTTTCAAAAAAAAAAAAAAAAAATCACACCCCTAATAGACCTTAAAACTAAGTGTCTTCGGGACTTATCAAATATGAATGCATTTTTTTTTAATTTAGTTATGGAGAAATTCTTTAAAATAAAATCTACTTTTGAGGATTCATCTATTCATAGTAGTGTTAAAGTGTCAAGTGTATGAGCTCGTATTTGTTATCATTTGAAATTTCGCCCCCACTCAACTATTTTTATGGATCCGCCCCTGGCGGTATCCATCTTTATTAATGAGATGAGGAGGTGCTTCAAGGGATCTCAAACTTTGTACGTACTCTTTTCGGCCTAACGTCCCGACTCCCGAGCAATAATACTATTATTTTCATACCCCTGTTATTTACTTCCATACTCAACTTATGGTGGATTAGTTCTGAAAAAATAATCACTTGTAAAGGATTTATAAATGTACAAGAAAATATGTATAATGTATAAGTTATTATATTTATCTATATTATTTAATAATAGAGTAAATATCCAAAATAGTCCCTCGAATGTAGCATAATTCACAAATAAGTCATCGATTATCAAGTTTAGCAAATTAAGTTCTCAACTATTCAACTATTACTCAATAAGATCCTCAACTATTCAATTCTTACTTAATAAGGTCATCAACGAACTATTCAATTTTTACTCAATAAGGTACTCAACAAATGATTGATTTGTGAATTATTGAGCAATAGCTAAAAATTTGATGACTGAATTGGTAAAATTGATAGTCAAGAACTAATTTGTGAATTATGACATAATCGATGGACCATTTTGGATATTTATTATTTAATAATATTAACAACTAGGAGAAAAGAAAGGGGAAATGTGATATATATATATATATATATATATATATATATATATATATATATATATATATATATATATATATATATATATATATATAGGGAATGGTTCAGGTGCGGGTATAGCTTCCCGTGTTGTTAGATCTGAGCTGTTGATCAAATTTAGATCAACGGCTCAAATCAATGAAAATTTTTTAAAAAAAAAAAACGCGTGTCTGGAAGAAAGAAGCATAAGCTAAAAATGACGCACCTTAAGTGATAGAAACATGCACCTTAAGTGTTAGATCTTAAGCACAAACTCACGCATATTAAGTACAAAACACACACACATTAAGCACAACCTCACGCACATTAAGCACAAAACACACGCACTTTAAATATTAACTCACAGACTTTAAGTTTCAACAACTATTGACATTAAGCACAAACTCACGTACATTAAGTACAAAACTCACGCACATTAAGCACAACCTCACGCACATTAAGCACAAAACTCACGCACTTTAATTATTAACTCACAGACTTTAAGTTTTAACAACTACTCACATCAAGCACAACTCCACGCACATTAAGCACAAACCTCACGCACCTTACTCACAAACCTCACGCACCTTACGCACAAACCTCACGCATATTAATCACAGATCCGCTCACCTTAATTTTGACCTAGATGCAAAAATTACAAAATTACTACCGCGTTTTTTTTAAAAAGTTTGGTAATCCTGGACGTTGATTTAAGCGAGATGAATGACACAGATTAAATCGCACAACTGCACCTGGGCACCTTAACCGCACCAGAACCTAATTATATATATATATATATATATATATATATATATATATATATATATATATATATATATATAGGGTTGAGTTCACATGAGGACTACAATATATAGAGGACTATGAGGATAAATCATTGTCATCCAATCCAAGAGATTGAATGGCTAAGATGTTGTCCATATACAAATATAATTAACGCCCAAAATAATTAAAAGAGGGCAAAGAAGAGATTTGACAACATGCTTAATTATAGAAGGATCCATCTACGTAAAATATGATTGGAGCAAGAATTCGAACACGGAAGGGAATCAAAGACTAATTACAATCTCGCGTCGTTCATTGCCGAGAGCAGCAGTACGGGCGAGAAGGGAGGAATTGTTCTACGCGCAGCCATGGACGCCGGTGAAACAAGTAGCAAGGGACCATCCATGAACGCCGACGACTATGTATTCGCGGAGGCAGCAATTCATGAGGAAGACCGTAGAGTGCATGAGGACGACATGATCGACGATAAGGCCTAAATAAATATGAACCACGAATTACACAAAAATAAATATTATTATGGAATACTGACCGTAGAGTACTACCTGGATCTAGGGCAATGGTTAGACGTGTCCGTGATCATATGATTTAGCGAATAATGGAGAGGGGGGTGGGGTTCTGTGTAATGCAATTGAGCCTAGGTTGGTTGAATGCTGAGCAGTCACATATTTCTGTATATTGTGTGCCATAATGATTTATTAGATGTGCACGCTTTCTATATGCCGTGTTCCACTGTCTGCCAACATACATAAATGCATACTCCTGTTGACATTTTAAAATGCAACAGAAATTGCAGCGGATGAGGGAACTGAGCCCGATCACGGAATATATCTTGGAATAACAGAAGAAACCATCCCAGAATGTGAGCAGTCATTAAAGCCTTACAGGGGTCAACATTTTGAGAACGTAGAGCAAGCTGTTGAGTTTTACAAAAAGTACGCACAAGAGGTAGGGTTTCGATGTTAGATGCACCTCAGCGAAAAAGAACAGACACGGACAGATTGAATCGAAGTATTTGCTATGTTCACGAGAAGGATACCCACCCACACCAAATCAAGAGAGCACATACACAAATAATGACAACAAAGCCAAAAAGCAAACACGGCGACGTGTGTCTAACCGAGTGGGGGTGTAGGGCAAAATGTGGAATTCGGTTACAGAAGGAGGGATACTACGAACTAATCGTATTAGAAGAGCGACACAACCATTGCCTATGCTCACCCATAGCAAGACCATTCTTAAAGATAAATCGAAAGCTTGATATTGGACATAAAGTATTCATAGCAAACTGTGGAAAAATAAACATAGGAGCAACAACAGCATTCAAGATATTCAATGAGATGGGGGGAGGTGCAAATATGGGGCTTACATGCGTAGAGTTCAGAAATTGCAAGCGAGACGTAAATGCAAAGTTTGATGAAGCAGATGCACAAGCAGTGATAGACAAGTACGCAAAGAAGCAAGCGTTGTATCCAAGTTTCACATTTGAGTACGATGTCGACGAGGAAAACCAGCTACGCAGGGTGTTCTGGGCAGACCAAACGGCTAAAACACAATACAACTGCTTCGGAGATATGGTGTCAATCGATGCAACGTACCGAACCAACAGGTTAGTTATAAATTATTAAAATAATATACACCAGTTTAAAGAGAGTATGAAACTTGAAACCTGTTTGCACCTCAGCCTATATATTGTGCCAGTATTCACTACGTCTTGTGCCCCTACTGTGCAAGGCAAAATGTAGCAAATACCGCCTATAAAAAACGTTGAACGACTGGAAAATCAACACAGCGGCCTAACACTCACAAATATGTGCAGGTACAAACTGGTATTTGTGCCATTCACCGGGATAGACAACCACAAGAAGCGCGTAACTTTTGCGGCAGGCCTTATAGCAAAGGAAGACATCGCATCTTACGTGTGGCTCCTAGATGCATTTAAACGATGTATGGTGCACACACCATGTATTATAACGGACCAAGACCCAACAATGAAGGAAGCAATGCCGCAAGTGTTTCCAGAAACCAGGCACCGATTCTGCATGTGGCACATAATGACCAAAGTGGGGTAGAAGGTTGGTGGGAAATTAGCAAAAGACGAAAAGTTCAGAAAGGAATTAAATGCAATCGTCTGGGACAAAACCTTGGGATGTGAGGAGTATGAAATACAGTGGAACACATTAATGACAGAATACAGCCTCGAAGAGCACAAGTGGTTCAAACAAATGTACGAGATCAGATCAAGTTGGATAGAGGCGTACTACAATGACGTGTTCATGGGAGGGCTAATGCGAACTACATCCAGATCAGAGTCAGAAAATGGACTATTTGGGGACTGCATCAACACACATGGAACATTGTTAGAATTCTTCACCTAGTTCGAAAGCGCAATCGAGATGCAGCGGCACAACCAAGCACGATTAGTCGCAGAGTGCGAAACATCTTACCCACCCATGAAGACACCACTACAAATTGAGAAGCATGCATCTTCCCTATACACCAATACAATTTTCTACGACATCCAAACAGAGATATTAGAAGGAAGTTTCTCATGCAAAATATCTAGCAAGGAACAAGCAACTGATCACGTACTATATACAATCCAAGAGGGCAAAAAGAAGAGCATCACAGTACAATATTATAAAGAGAATGAGACAGTGAGATGTTCCTGTGGGAAATTCACTAGGGTGGGAATATTATGCAAACATGCGTTTGCAGTATTAAAGGATGATGATGCAGAAGTGATACCAGCAAAATACATAATACCAAGGTGGACACAGAATGCATGTGCACACAACCGGGCCAACGACCACATTCAACAAGGAGGACCAGACAATACAGAAATAGAAGAGAAGAGACTAACAGCTAAACTATGGAGTGAGTTTTACTCTTGCATAGCATTATCACAGGCAAACACATCTGAAATGCAGGAGATGTTGGACTGGATACTAGAGCACAAAAGTAAATTATTGAAGACCAAAGAGAAGAAACATGATACAAATAACAAAAACGAATTACTGAAGACATTTTATGGCACACAGGCAACAACAGTTGTACAAGTGAAACCTCCACAAACCTCCACAAGTATCAAAGAACAAAGGGAGTGGAAAGCGATTAAAGAGCACACGGGAGAAAGCACAAGCAAAGAAAAGAAAAGATGGACGCACATGCCATTACTGTGACGAAGAAGCGCGCCATGACAGCCGAAACTGCCCGCTAAAGCCACCAACGAAAAAAAAAACAAAGACCGAAAAGAACAGAGGTCCAATGATTTGAAACTACAGAAAAGTGGGCACACACCTTATTAACTAGTGCACAAAATATTTCCTGGTAGGGCACATTACTATTAGCTTAGATTCTTGTAAGAACATGCAGTTTTATTCAATAATATATTACGCATTATCCGATAATAATTACACACATTGCTAAAGAAATAAATACATCCACTACCCCCGCCCCTATACTCCAAGCCAATAAACCCTAACAGACCTAGTGACTCCAACCTAAGATTTCTGTTCAAAAATCCTGTATTCAACACCCTACTATGCATTACCCTAGGAAAACACCACACCGTTTAAAAAAAAAAAAAAAAAAAAAAAAAAAAAAAAAAAAACCAATACGCAATTACAAAGTTTTAAAATAGTACGATAGTCTGCACCCTAAAAATATTACGCCCAAAACGCCGTGACTGCGAAAGAATAAAAAAGCACGGACCGAACCCAACGTGAGTCCAAAGAGATGAACCTACACACCAGGGGCACACACATTATTAACTAGTGCACAAAACAAATCCTCGCAGGCCACATTACCAATAGATAAGAGCCATGTTTGAACATACAGTTTAATTCAACATCATAATATGCATAATCCAAAAATACTAACCCACTTTGTTAAATAAAATAAAAATAATAATAAATAAAACCACCCCAGGAAAATTACACACGTAGTTAAAAAAAAAAAAACACAAGAAAAGTTACACCAAAAAGGGAGCACCTGTTGCATAATAGAAAAACACAAACTAAAACGAGCGGGAGTCCAACGAGATGAAACTACAAACAAGGGCACACATTCAAATAGACAGTGCACACAAGTAATCCTCGAAGGGAACATGACAGTAGACAAAGAAACACATAAAAAGACCAACAACTGAAGGCCATAGATTAATACTCCAAAAAAAACCCAGCAACTAAGATATACACAGAGTTTAAGGGTCAAAACAGTAACAAAACGACTACGAATACAGAAATCATGACACTGCACAAAATACTAAAACCCATACTACACTATATAACTACACTACGGCCCTACTCCCTCTTCTGGAAAGATATCGCACTGCATTTGCCACATTGCTTGCACGGTTGGCATTGATATCTGCAACGCAAATCGCCTTCAAGTACTGAAACCGCAAGCGCTCAAGACCAACTACGTCGCCTTTGACTAGACCACACTCCCATCTCGACACCCCTTCACCACCATAAGACTCCATATGGCGCATAGCATAAACACCACTGTCAACTTTGTTACGCGAGTCACACCACTTCATCTGCATCCTCTTGGGCACTAAATGAAGGCATAAACCCTGTTTATACCCCAGGCCAGCAGCTTTGAAAAACTCGAACAACAATAATTGCTACAAAAAAAAAAAAACAAATGATCATCATCTACCACCCCAAAAGCAATGCACAATGAAAAACCCCAGAAAAAGAAAAGAATAGCAACACAACGTACCATATTATCAGGAGTGTCACCATACTTCTTCGAAGTGGCCTCCGTCGAAGCAGAACTATCAATAATGTCAACGCGTTCATTCACAAAGTCCACACACACAACATAGAAAAGATTGCTTTGCATAACCGGCAGAAACAACTGCAAAATAGTTTACAAGACATAATCAACAAATAACCCAAAAAAAGCAAGTAAACGAGAACAAAACTATATACGAACACAAAACCCCCCAAGAGGAACACAACCACTAACAACAGTGCACACTAACAAGATTGCCCTACCACCATGGCTTATAAGGGCACACAAGAACAATGCAAGCAGCACACAACCACAAAAAGCAATGCACACTGCTAATAACTACCCCCTAACACACATTTAAGAGAGACGATAGTGGTCAGAAATGCTCACCAGATTCACCTCCCCCCCCCCCCATTGCTTATAAGGGGTGAGGGCGAGATGAGCAGATAAAGCAAGAGAAAACAAACGCACGGCCTCGGACTGTGAATCCAGAGCAAGCCCACCAATATCAAGTTGAAAACCCGACAACAAAATCCATAAAGTGAAATGCCGGCAAAAACAATCTAGGAAATCGGGAGAGAAAAACAAGAGACCACTAACATACAAACTTACAGTGGAGGAAGCCGTGGCAAAAACCCGCGATTGTGCACCAGGACTCTTGCCAAACTCACGACAATTCAAGATTACAGACCAAGCATCAAGCATTGCAACACTAACAGCTGACCCTGGAGCCAACGACCGTAAATCCCCACGACGTACCACGCAACCACCGTGAGAAAACAGCACCTCATCCCTAAGCCATCACTATAACTCAACAAAAGGGGGAAAAAACAACACCAGGGAAACTGCCGAACGACTAACAATTAAACAAATACTTACAATGCATCGCTACCACACTCCAACACCCACTTGCTGAACACACCATCGTCAACCACATCAACTGAAGGCAAGGGCACATCACTATATAGATCCGCTGCACGGATAGAATCCGGCACAGGTCGAACCGGCCTAACAGGCTTCAACGGGGCAACACAGACTGGGGAAGAATCACGACATGGAACCACTTGCTATGAATTTGCAAATAGATTAAATAGAATTAAAAAAAAAAGAATACGAATATAAATACCAACCAAAAGCACCCATTTACCTCAGCAGGGGTATCAAACACATGCCCAGCACCACCCTCAACCACATTTCTATGGCCCGGAGCTCCCTCATCTGAACCCTCAGCTGGAGAGGCAACTGGCACATGATCCCTACGGTCTACTACCACCGGGACATCCCCAACCGTACCCAAAGGACGAACCACCTGCACGTGCTCACGAGAAACTTCCTGCACACAGTTCAAATGGCCCACAAGAGAAATGAAAACTTATTACAAAAACACACAAAGCAACCAGAGTTGAGCACACATTAAAAACAAAAAGGACACAAACAGAAATCACCTACGGCACACAAAAAGTGAACGACCAACAAAGAAGCAAAATACCTGCTCCGGAGGGTCAACACCCACACCAAGACCACTACTTTGTTGATTAATTCCCATAGCAATATCAGCACCGGAATCCACAACACCACCACCAAACTCTTGCGTAAGCCCAAGACTAAACGATGGCATATGATTCAATAGAAGCCTCGCCATAAGGGCACGCTCAACCTCAGCCAACTCACGAAGCCTCGCCAAGACTAAACGGCGGCTTCCAAGAAACCGGATTCGCATGCCCCAAACTACTTGCCTACTCATTCACTGCCCTCCAATTGTGCCAGTAAGAAACCGATTTACGCAGCACTGCCTCATGATCATACGGCATTCCCCTCCATACACAATCGTTCCTACTCCCCCAAAGTCCCTAACACACCATCACAAACAAACATTGCATGTCGCCACTCAAGCTTCCCAGGCACTGGAAGAACCAATCCACAACACTCCCTTGTTGATGCAACATAGGAGGCAGATTAATTAATCTCCACAAATTCGCAGCATGCATACAATCACGAAACAGGTGTGCCGTACTCTCATCTTCACCCCCACACATATGACAAGCAAGATGACATGCCACTCGTTTCGCTGCTAAGGCATCTCTCGTAGGCAGAATGTAGTGAGCCAGTTGCCAACAGAACAACCTCACCTTCGGAGGAACCTGTAAGCTCCATATCAGATTCCATGGCCTAACATCAATGGACTCACCCGTAATGAGCCGGTAACACGATTTAACCATGTATTTCCCCTTCGAATCCCCAAACCATACCCATGAATCAGCAGGTTTGCGAATACTTACCGGGATGTTTAGAATACAGTTTGCATCGCGTTCATCAAAAATATCATTGACACACGCCACATCCCATCCTACTCCATCTTCCCTGAGCAAAGCATTGACCGGCGCCTCCCTAATAGACTCATGCAAAGCAGTGGTTACATATGGATTAATTTCTGTCACAAGCCATGGATCACACCCAATCATGATGGTTCTTCCATCCCCGAAACTGCACCTTGCCCAGTGCAGGATTACCTGCTTAGCTTCCACAATGCCGCGCCATATATATGATTTTATTTTTTCAAAATCGAAATATATATTTAAAAGAAAAACTAAATCGAATCCGAAAAAAGTATCTGAAAATCAAAATTTCCACCCATAAACATAGTTTAAACTAATATTCATTGCTGATTGATTTTAACGTTAAAAATTGAGTGGTATGATAGTATCATGTTCTAGAGTAGAGTAGTGGTGATGAGAATATAATTGTGTTGTATTCAATCGTAATGTCTGAGAGTACAGAGAGCAAATATATAGGTACTAGATAGAATCCTACTCTAACACGAATAATATAGTCCTAGTCTAATATGGATAACATAGTCCTAATACTCCCCCTCAAGCACAAGGTTGGCTAGCCAAAACATTGAGCTTGTCACGGAGAGAATTAAAACAGATAGACGAAAGAGACTTGGTGAAGATATCTGCTAGTTGATCTTTGGTTGAAATAAATTGCACATCCAACTCCTTTTTGGCTACTTTATCGCGAACAAAATGATAATCAATCTCAATGTGCTTCGTGCAGGCATGAAACACTGGATTAACACATAAGTATGTAGCCCCCAAATTATCACACCATAGTCGAGGAGGAGACGCAGGTGGGATGCCGATCTCGTGTAGCAGATAAACAAGCCATGTTACCTCAACAGATACATCAGCCAGACCCTTGTATTCTGCTTCAGTTGAAGAACGCGTCACTGTAACACCCCGAAATTTTGAAACTTTTAAAGCTTATATAATAAAGGCAATTGCTCATAAAATCCCAACCAGAGTAATACTAATCACAAGTGTACGGGGTGCTATGACATCTGAGCTGGAGAGCTCAGATGCACAGGCTAAACTAACTAATATCCTCAATACATCATTATGGCACGCAGGCCGAAAGGAAAGACTATCTATCTAATCCACGATCTTCTAGCGCGCTCTTGGGATCTTACTTGTCTGTGCCTGAAAGCCAAATATATCTGTTCAGCGAGAGATGTCGGTAACCCACTCCAACGCGTTGAAATACATTATAGATAGATATATATAGATATACGAAAATCATTTTGAAGCAGGAAGATATATACTTAAGAGACACTAGTTTTAAAACCTGGAATAGACTCGACAGATAGGGATAAGCACATTCAACAGTTATAACCAAGCATATAAAGATACTAGCATATATCCTATGGTCATAAATACACTTCATCTCGTTCACGTCATCATTCAATTCTTATCTCATCACACAAGCATACTTTGGTGGCGCCACAGGACCAATCGCATGCCCATACATGAGGGTCAGCGCATATAGCTCTGACATGGCCCCGCAACACCCTGCCTTGCATCGCAATACGAAGGGGTCGATCGCAACCGACCGATGAACCGCAGCTCATCATAATGTTTGATCGCAACCAAACAGTGGACCGCAGCCCAAGAGTGATCATCTGACCGCAGCCAGGAATATGAACCGCAACTCATGTAAAACGTTTGATCGCAACCAAACGGTGAACCGCAGCCCAAGAGTGATCATCTGACCGCAACCAGGAATATGAACCGCAGCTCATGTGAAACGTTTGATCGCAACCAAACGGTGGACCGCAGCCCGAGAGTGTAATTCTGACCGCAGCCAGCTTCTGAACCGCAGCTCAGGAATAACCAATTTGATCGCAACCAAATTGGGGTATCATGCACACATAACACATAGCAAGCACATGCAACCCATATTAACACATAGGGAAAGGGGAGAAAACGTATAATGAAACCTATGCGAGGTCATCCACATACTAGGAATAATCCTAAGAGGTTCATACTTCTTTCACCTAGGCCAACGGGATACCAATTCAACTAGCATGCGATATATATAAGACTCATTTATCCTACGAATGGTACCCAAAACATCAAACTAGACTTTAAGCACGATAAACGGAGTCCGTTGGGACACCACGAGGGTCGGGGAAACATCAAACGGGGAAGCCGAAGACCCAAAGTGGGCAAATTCCAGCGGGTAGCCGGTGGGTGGAGGACCACCCGCCGGCGACAAGCCTCCGGGCAGCGGGTGCCCGGCGGGCAGTCGCCTGCCCACCGGCTGCCCACTGCCGGCGGCGTCCTTTTCGGGCAGCGGGTAGGTTGCGGGTCCCCCTACCCCCCACTGACTCTTTATCAAAATAAACGTCCCGGGATCCTTTGTGGAACCCGAAACCATGCTTAGACACTTTTGAACGCAATTGATGACACCACGTAGACAATTAACGGATCAAAAGCAAGAATCATATAGCACATATCCTATCATGACTTCTAAGCATAATCAACACCCGAACATGCGAATTCCCACCCGAATATATCAAGAATAACACAATACGAAATCCCCAATTTGACCTAGGGCTCTAATCATCAAAATCATAGTTCGTCTTTTAACATCAAGAAACGTCAAGATTCATCAAGAATATCACATAATCATCAAGAACCTCTTATCATAATCAAGATTATCAAGATTACACATAAAATCATCTCACAATCATCAAGATCATATCACCAATATCATAAACGATTCATCAAGACACAAGTGTAGAGAGGAAGCCAAAGAAGATAATTATATCAAGGAAAATAGATTTTGTTGAGACATGGGTTACCTCTTAGCCTTAATTAATTTTCTTGGCTATGAAGGGTCTTTCTTTAAGATTCCTTCTTTCTTGATTTCTCCTAGGGGGGATTCTTGGAGCTTCTTGTGTGGTGAGAGATTATTGTGGTGTGGGTTCTAGGTGCCTCCTATGCCCCCTATTTATATACTTAAGGGTCCCTAATTAGGGTTAGTTCTATTCCTTCTAGGACTAGGGGATTGGGTTTAAGGATAAGGGCCCATGGACTATGGTAGGCCTTTTCCTAATTAATT